ACAGATTTGCACTCAAAACTAAAATTTTGGAACAAAAAAAATTCGGCCCAGAATTGGACAAACAACCAGAAATTTCCGCCGATGTTGACAGCGCATAAACGCTAGTGAATAAGAAGAAAAAGTAATTATGTTTCCATAAAAACTTGAATCTTTTCGAATAATTCTATTTCAGACTGGCAAAAATATCTATAAAATCCAGAAAGCGATGAGAGTTCATGGGCCTTTCTGTTGGGCAGATGCTCAGTCTGGACTAGATCTGTAGGAAGCTAGTAAATATTAGTAACTTTTTTTGTAAAATTGTGAAAAGATTTTTAACTTATTTCTGGTAATAATTTGTTTTATGCTGGCAAGTGTATCCATGAATTCATAGCTTAAATTACAGTAAAAGCTCATGTAATTGATATTCAGAGCAGTATCATAAAAAAAATATTAAAAAACCAGTAATGAACATAAGTAATATCTGTGTTTTTATACACGTAAAAGAGAGTGGTTAACTATTGACATTTGCGAGCTGAATTAGTAGAAAATTTGTTAATGCAAGTAATTTATATGTTTGAAAGACATAAAGACAGTTATTAGGCATCAATAATTCTGTTTTGAACTGTAGGAAAGTAAAGAATAAATACATGGACGTGTTTGTAAAAGGTAAAAAGAGTTACTATAATTTATGAATCTTTCACTACCGAGACGTCAAACTTACCCGTACATTCCATGAGGGAAGTGAGAGTTTATGGTAGGCGGTTATTGTTTGACAGCTGAGCTGAGTAGAGTAGGCCAGCATGGGAAACTGCTGTGGCAGCCCTGTCAGTGGCAAGAGAGGTGGGGCAAATTTCTCAGATATTAATGAGAAAAACAAAAGCAGCAAACCTAATGAGAATGATTTGAGAACTATTGGGAATAAAGGAAGGTACGAACCGGATCCGACGAGCAGCAGTATAAGGACTAACAATGGTACTGCCACGACCATTTCACAGCAGCACCTTCTGCAGCGTCAGTTGTCTATTGGTAAGTTTGCCAGTTTGGATTCATATGTTGTTTTACTTAACTGTCTGTCACAAAAGAATCTTGTGTGTGAGCAGCTATTGTCCATGTGTGTCAATTACTGCATTATGAATTATTTTGTATCTTCAAATTTGGTTTGAAATGGTCATCACAGTCAGTTTTATAATCATTACGGTCAGTTTTATAATCATTACAGTCAGTTTTATAATCATTACGGTCAGTTTTATAATCATCTCCGATTAATGGCATCTTTATCCTTACTTTAGGTTATCAGTGCCAGGCATTGACAATGAATAAGGAACTAGAACAGAAAATAACTATATGTGAAATGCGCTGTCTCCACAAGGTCACTAACAACACAAGAACAGACAGGGTTACGAATACCAGCATTAGAGAGAAAGTTGGAATAAGACCATGTCTGGATTATATTGACAGCCAAAGAATGAAATGGTTCAGCCATCTAGTGAGAATGCAGCCAGGCTAAATTGCAAATAATACTTTTCACAGCAGAACATCTAGGAAGAAGGCGAGAGGAAGACCAAGAAAAAAATGGATAAAGCATGTAGCCGAAACCTGCAAAGAGATGAACAAATCCATCACCCAAGCCACCAGAGAAGCACAAGACACATACAGAAAACCATGACACTGGGCTACAACCTGGTGTCAGTGAGACGACAAGAGAAAGAAAGAAGGATGTCAATCAGGTGCCGTCACCACAGTGATGGTTGCTGGCAGGCAGCAGAGGATATCCAGCCCTCTCTGTCTGTTGTCTGTACACTTTGTCGGGAGGTAACGGTGCTGAACCACTTGATGCAGCAGAACCATGGCTGATACAGGTTCAAGAGACCTATCTACACTTCTCCAGGGTCATCCTAGACACATCCCCACATTCCCCGTGTGGATTCCAGGGCTCTATTATAGGGAAAACAAGAATAGACCCACTGTCTACCCAAAAGCATGTCGTAAGAGTCGACTAATTGGGACCTTCCTTCAAAGTCGGAGTCCATCTGCCTGAGAGGCAAGGAACCAGCAGTTGGCAAACAAATGAGTCAGATCTGTAAAACGGATGCACACGCAACACTCAGGTTCCGGAACAGGACTGCTGTCTAGAAGTGGATGAACAACCAGAACTTTCCGCCAGAGTTTACAGCTGGTGAACGCGGAGAAGAAGAAGAGGATCCAAACATGGAGTCTGGCTAACTTTGATAGGATCAGATTTTCCTTCAGAGTTGGAGTACATTTGCCGAAAAGGTAAGGCACCAAAAGTCTCTGCACATATAAAAAGCAGGATTTGTAAAATGGATGCGTATGCAAAACTTGAGTCCTGGAGCAAGACCAAAGTTCATAAGTAGATGAACAGCCAAGATTTTGTCAGAATTTACAGCAGGGGAACAAGAAGAAGTTGAGTTGATTCAAGAAGCAACATTACAACACTTGTGACATTTTCTCAAGTGCTCCGTCCCCATCTTCAGCAGCCAGTGAAGAGTTCCTATACGGATGGTGCCAGTAGCATTCTGATTAAACGTTTGTCTTGCCTTTCCTCTGAGCCTCGAGCATCTGCCAGAACCTCTCATCACCCACCCCCCCCCCTCCCCCCCCTCCCCTTTCCCGCAACAATCTCACCAGACTGTGGTGATCAGTCTGCTCCTCCGAACTGTACACACTCTCCCACAAGGCAATAACCATGTCTGCCTTATCATGCATCAGTATTCCACCAAGTTGTGCAGGGCCAGCCAGGCTGACCACTTGTTCATTTCCCAACACACCGGTGTAAAAGAAGTAAACTCTGGCAGTCTTTATTTCTTTCCAGTTAAAGCCTTGTCTTGTCCTGTCAATTATTCATCTTTGCCTCATTCTCTACACTTGTCTCCAGATCCAAAATTTATGGGTTCAAGCCCTGACTGTGGCTTCCAGCACGACCCAGCCTTAAGGTACCAGTTAAAGTCCTGAGAAGTAAAGCTGGCCTGCGTGATGCTGACCACATTGCCCACCAAGTGCAGATTTGTCTATAAAATATAGGTCTAGCCCTATGTGCCCAATATGCATGAAGGCAAGGAAAAGGATCCTTTGATAGTCTCCCAAGGTTTGTGGGTTTTAGGGCCCCAGTATAGGAGATAAACAAGAATAGACCAACTGCCTCCCTAACAAACAAGCATATCATAAAAGTTAGCTAAACAGGGGTTTCCTTCAAAGTCAGGGTGCATCTGTTTGAAAGGCAAGGAGGCAACAGTCTGCAGACAAATAAGCTGCCTTTACTTCCCAGGACTTTTTTTGCTACCCATTTAAGGCTGGGTCTAACTGGGAGCCAAGGTTATTTAAAAAAAAAATCCTGCTCCGTCAGGACCTAAACTCATGACCTTCGTATCCACAGATGAGTGTCTAGCCACTACACCACGGCAGCTCACCAAGGCTTATGATAGCAAGATGTTTTACGAAACTCATTGTGGAAGAGTTCTGTGCAGAAGAAGAAGGGAGGTGGAGAAATATAGCAAGACATTTTACAAAACTCATCGGGGAAGAGTTCTGTACAGTAGAAGAAGGAGGAGAATGATAGCAAGACGTTTCACGAAACTCATTGAGAAAAAGTTCTGTGCAGAAGAAGGGAGGAGCAGAAGGATAGGAAGACATTTTACAAAACTCATTGGGGAAAAAGTTTTGTGCAGAAGAAGAAGGGAGGAGGAGGAGAAGGATAGCAAGATGTTTTACGAAACTCATTGGGGGGAAAAGTTCTGTGCAGAAGAAGAAGGGAGGAGGAGAAATATAGCAAGACATTTTACAAAACTCATTGGGGAAGAGTTCTGTGGAGAAGAAGAAGAAGGAGGAGGAGAAGGATAGCAAGATGTTTTACAAAACTCGTTGGGGAAGAGTTCTGTGCAGAAGAACGGAGGAGCCAAAGGATACCAAGATGTTTCACAAAACTCATTGGGGAAAAAGTTATGTGCAGAAGAAGAAGAAGGGAGGAGGAGAAGGATAGCAAAACATTTTACAAAACTCATTGGGGAAAAAGTTTTGTGCAGAAGAAGAAGAAAGGAGGAGGAGAAGGATAGCAAGATGTTTTACGAAACTCATTGGGGAAAAAAGTTCTGTGCAGAAGAAGAAGGGAGGAGGAGAAGGATAACAAGACATTTTACAAAACTAATAGGGAAAAAGTTCTGTGCAGAAGAAGAAGAAGGAAGAAGAAGGCGGCGGAGGAGGAGAAGGACAGCAAGATGTTTTACGAAACTCATTGGGAAAAGGTTCTGTGCAGCACACTACTACTTAATGATGAAGTGCTTAAGGAAGGCAAATACAATACTGTGTTAAAACTGGAGTCTTCGTCTTTTCACTGCATTCACTGAAGCATTTCAAATGGATAAAAATAATAACTTCACCTCTGTTTAATTTTATCAATAAATCTTTTCAAAAAGTGATTAAAAAAAAAAGAATAGTTAATGTCTGCCTTACACAGTTGGGACATTTTCCTTTGTGTATTCTCCGTCTGAAGAAGTTAAATGGAGAATGTTGTGTGCAGATGTAAATTAATTCGTTGAAAAGGGGAAATGCGAAGTAGCTATACAAATATTTGGTTATAAAAGTACTTTCCTGGTTTGTGATTTCTTCTTCGCCCTCTTATCCTTCCCCTCTTCCTCATCCTACTCCTTTTTCTTCTTTATCTTCTTCTCCTGCTTCCCTTCTCCTCCTCTTCCTTTTTCTTATCCTCTTCCTTCTCCTACTTCACCTCCTCTTCCTCCTGCTCCTTCTTCTTCTTTGTCCTCTTCTCCTCCTGCTCCCTCTTCCTTATCCTACTTCTTTTTCCTCTTCTCCTCTTCCTCCTCCTTCTTGTTCTTCTTCTTCTTCTCCTCCTCCTCCACCTACTCCTTCATTTCCTTCTCGGTACATGTCACTTTTGATCAAAATCTTCTCCATGCCTCGTCAGGGGCAGGCATTAGGGATCATGACTCCTCAATCGCCTTCATTCCATTTCCACTGTAGGATCCAACAAGACAATTCTGCAAGCGATGTATGACTACCAGGCAAGGACTGAATCGGAGACATCCTTTAGTAAAGGGGACCAAATGGAGCTGCTGGATGACTCGTAAGTTTGCAGGGTGTTTCTCTTTGTTCATTGTTGTTATTATTGTTCTTTATTCATTGTTGTTAATATTGTTCTTTATTCATTGTTGTTAATATTGTTCTTTATTTTGTTGTTAATATTGTTCTTTATTATTATTGTTAATATTATTCTTTATTCATTGTTGTTAATATTGTTCTTTATTCATTGTTGTTAATATTGTTCTTTATTCATTGTTGTTAATATTGTTCTTTATTCATTGTTGTTAATATTGTTCTTTATTCATTGTTGTTAATATTGTTCTTTATTCATTGTTGTTAATATTGTTCTTTATTTTGTTGTTAGTTTTCTTCTTCTTCTTCTTCGCGTTCACCAGCTGTACACTCTGGCGTAAAGTTCTGGTTGTTCGTCCACTTCTGGACTGCAGTCCTGCTCCAGAACCTGAGTGTTGCGTGTGCATCAGTTTTACAGATCTGATTCAATTGAATGTAGACTGCTGGTTCCTTGCCTCTCAGGCAGATGCACTCCGACTTCAAAGGAAGCTCCCCAGTTAGTCGACTCTTATGACATGCTTTTGGGGAGGCAGTGGGTCTATTCTTGTTTTCCCCACAATAGGGCTCCGGAACCCACACGGGGCTGTTGTTAGTTTTGATTTATAGTTGTTAGTGCTTGTCTTTATTCATTGTTGTTGTTTTTTTTTTTTTTTCTACATTTATAATTCATTATTGTTTGTCTTTATTCATTGTTGTTATCATTTTATGTGTTGTTTTCTTTATTCATTGTTGTTTTCAATTGTCTTTATTCATTGTTGTTATCATTTTATGTGTGTTGTTGTCTTTATTCATTGTTGTTATCATTTGCCTTTTTTTCATTGTTGTTATCTGTTGTTTTTATTCATTGTTATTTTCATTTATCTGTATTCATTGTTGTTTTCATTTGTCTTTATTCATTGTTGTTTTCATTTGTCTTTATTCATTGTTGTTATCATTTGTCTGTATTCATTGATATTTTCATTTGTCTTTTTTCATTGTTGCTATCATGTGTCTTTATTCATGGTTGCTATCATTTGTTTTTATTTATTGTTGTTAATCATTTGTGTCAGGTTGAATATGATTTTTTGAAATAAATCCAGACTCATAAATTAATGTTCTTCTCCGCCTCCAAATACCTCATTGAATTGTTGGGAGGAGATGTATGAATTTTCTACAAGTTCTTTATCTTGTCTTTAAGGTTGTTCTGTATTTCAATTTTGTGTGTGGTCTTCTGCTTGCTCTGCTTTTATCTGATTTTATCAACATGGCTGTCTGCATGTGGCAGTTGGTACCAGGGTGCCTTTTTTTTGTCCATACCATCTCGTTAATGAATTTTATGGCTGGTTTCGGTCCTAGTCTTTGATGTGGGATGTGTCGACCGAAAGGCAGAAATGTCACAGCTATACTGTAAGCTCGCACAATGCATTCACGCTAGTCGAACTAACAATGAAGAAAAGCACAGGTGTTCATTAAGTGTAGTGAAGGTCTATGTTTGACAGTAGTTGCGTAGAGTTGACCTTAAAAATACTTCTTCGTAAATAAATACTGTAGTAAATGCATTATGTCCATGACACTGACCAATTGTGCGGGATAGATTGGAATGGGGAAATAAGCTGTAGTTCTGTGTGATGCAGTATGGTGGTGATAATGATGATTATGATAGTAATGATAATGATGATGATAGTAATGCTTAAGGTGTTGATATTAATGATAATGATGATAGTAAGATTATAGTTATAATGATGATAGTGATGTAAAAGTTGATGATAATAGTAATGATATTATAATGATGATATTAATGATAATGATGATAGGTATAATGATAATGGTGATAATTAGGATGATTATAGTAGTAATGATAGTGCTAATGATGGTAGGGATGATGATAGTAATGATGATAGTAATGATGATGATAATAGTAATAATAGTGATGATGATGATAATAGTAATGATAATAGTAAAGATAATAGTAAAGATAGTGATGATGGTGATGAAAAGCATTACAATTTACCTGTGACATTTCTCTCCTGTCATTCAGACATGCAGATTGGTGGTTGGTACGCATGAGAGACGGGCGTGAGGGTTACGTGCCCTACAATTTTGTGGCACGCATGGACACCATGGAATCTCAGGAGTGAGTATTTGACGTGATCATTCACTAACTTGTTATTGGGGTTATCATTTCTTTTTTTTTCTATTACTTCTTCCTTTTTCTATTACTTCTTCCCTTTCTATTACTTCTTCCTTTTCAATTACTTATTTCTTTTCTATTACTTCTTCATTTTCTGTTCTTCTTTTTCATGATCAATGGCTGTAGACTGCAGCTGAAAGTTCTGGCTGTTCGTTCACTTCTGGATTTTACTCTTTTTCCAGAAATTGAGTTTGCATTGCACATCTACTTTACAGGTCTGACATATTTTTGTATGCAGACTGTTGGTTCCTCACCTCTCAGGCAGTTGCACTCCGACGTCGAAGGAAACTACCTTAAAATAAGTTTATGACATGTTTGTTATAGGAGCAACGGGTCGCTCCTTTATTTCCTCCCAAAATCGCATGCCAGAACCTACACAAGGAGTTTATTGTTCTTTTTTGTAAGCTATTATTGTTTCTTACTGTTGTAGTTGACCAGAAAGAGAATTCTTGAAAGCCATATAAATCCTTTCTTGATATATGGAAGTGAATCATGGACAGTTGATAGATTAGTAAAAACTTATTTGTAGGCTGCAGAGATGTGGTTTTATAGACGAATGATGAGAATACCCTAGACAGATAAAAAGAGTAATGAAGATGTCTTGAAAGAAACTGACTCACGAAGAGAACTGATTGCCCACATCAGAAAAAGACAGTCTACATTCTTTGGTCATGTGATGAGAAGGAGAAAACTGGAGTGCATTGTGACAATAGAAAAGTTGGAGAGGAGGAGAGGCAGAGGAAGGCCGAGAGAAAAAATGCTGGACAGTTTGACATCATGGCCTGGAGGTTCATCTGTGCCAGAGTTGATTGAAAGTACACGAGACAGAAGGCTGTGGATAAACATGACTACCAACGCCATACAGCATTTTTTAAACAACCATTTAAGCCCGGCTCGCTAGGACAGTTGGCTAAACCTGACTGCGGGGTGACCGGGTGACAAACTCCTTGTGGTCCGGGTTCACGCCTGGGGGTAGGCAGAAAAGCCACATTTATCTCTCCCATATGTACTGTATCTATCATGGAATCAAGACCGAAGGGTTGCGATATCCATAGTACCGAGCCAAAGGGTTAACAATTCAAGGCTTCTGGATACTTTAAAAAAAACATTTATGATTTATTGATTTTTCCCTCGTACATATAAATGTGAAATTTAAAAATAAAATTAAAAATTTTTTTTTTTTTATTTGGTTTATTATTATTTTGCCAGATGTAATGTATTTTCCCTTTGCGTTTTCAGTTGGTTCTTTGGTAAGATTACCAGAAAGGATGCAGAGAGATTGCTGAAGTTTCCGGAATCTCCTCTCGGGTCTTTTTTGATACGAGAGAGTGAGACTGAACCAGGTGTGTATAGGGCACAGGTATAGGTTCACTCACCTTGATGAGAATATTCTTTTTATTAATCACTATGTAGGCACTTCATATTGATGAGAAAATACTTATAAATCAGTACATATGAACTTCATATTGTTGAGAATATACTTCTTAGCTTTCATCTGTAAACTCGACGGTTGTACATCCACTTCTGGACTTTGTTTTTGATCCAAAACTTGAGTTTTATGTGCACATCCGTTTTACCAATCTGGCTTATTTGTATGCAGACTGTCAGTTCCTTGCCTCTCAGGCAGATGATCTCTGACTTAGATGAAAACATCCCTAATTAGAATATGCATTATTTATACTTTCATAGGCACTTTATTTTGGTGAAAATAAACTTATAAATTAATGTGTAGACATTAATTTATAAGTTTATTTTGGTGAAAATAAACTCATAAATTAATGTGTAGACATTAATTTATATGACAAATAGTTTGAGATTAATATAATTGTTTTTGAAAGACTGTTTCAAATCTCTATAAACATGAACATTCCAGATTTAATAGTAAATTATTTGAAATATCACGCCAAGTAATTTCATTGATGTTTTGACATTTTGCTTTCTTTAATGTTTCAGTAAAGTCTTACATCTTATAGTTTTCCTTGTTTGAAAGTCTTCCATTTCTGAAGTATCGTTTTGAGAATTCATCTGTTTTCTGAAACCTTCCTCCTGTTCTAAAAGTCTAGTCTTCCGCCTTCTGTAATACTATATTTTATGAAATCTTCCCTCTTCTGAAATCTTCCCTCTTCTGAAATCTTCCCTTTTCACATGTGGGAATGTCCCAAGTGCAGTGATGTCAGTTCTTGATTCATTCATTCATTCCGCCCACTGTCTGAAATAGTTTATTTTCTTAAATCTTCCACCGTCTGATATCTTCCTCCTTCAGAATTCTTCCATTTTCAGAAATCTCTTTTCAATTCTTTCATCTTCTGCACGTTTAAATCTGTTTTGTGACAACAAACTGAAAGTTAAATTGCTTTCTGTTGTTTTAAAACCCAGGCACTTATGTCCTTTGTGTCCATGACAAGGATGCCAGCCGAGGTGACTGTGTGAAACACTACAAGATCAGGCGCTTGGACAACGGAGGCTGCTACATCACATCCAAAACTGCCTTCACAAACCATACTGAGCTGATTCGACATTACCAGGGTGAGTACCTTAGACAGTCAATCAGTGTCATCTCCTCTGTGAAAGTTAAATCCGTCCCCTCAACAAGCAGCCAACCTGGCATTTCCATCATTGCCACATTCCAGTAAAGGCATGTCTGCAGTCACCTGTTTCTGAGAAGCACAGTTTAATGTTATTGGTTCTGTTTGTGCCTGCACAGCATTCAGGAGGCCTGGATATGAATATATTTACTAAAAATTGTATTTAGGGGGTTTTCTTGTGAACAAAATGTTTTTTTTAACTGTTCAAACAAAAAACAAAAAAAGTTTTAAAAGTTTAAAAAAAAAAAACTTCCAGTGAAACTGAAAAAGGTGAAGAAAGGATGATGGTAGTTGCTAGGGTGTATATTTTGAATACTTGATTATAACTATCTTGTTGTGACTATAACTATCCAGTTGTGACTGTAACTATCCTGGTCTCATTATAACTATCCAGTTGTGACTATAACTATCCTGGTCTCACTATAACTATCCAGTTGTGACTATAACTATCCCGGTCTCACTATAACTATCCAGTTGAGACTATAACTATCCTGGTCTCATTATAACTATCTTATTATGACTATAACTAACCAGTTGTGACTATAACTATCCAGCTCTGACTATAACTAACCAGTTGTGACTATAACTAACCAGTTGTGACTTTAACTAACCAGTTGTGACTGTAACTATTCCGGTCTCATAACTGTCCAGATCTGAATAAAATGTGACTTTTCCCCTTACAGTCAAAGAAGAAGGGTTGTGTCGCAAACTGACTATTCCATGTCCCAAGCCAAAACCAGTGATGCAAGATTTGTCGGTGGAGACTAAGGATTTATGGGAGATACCTAGAGAAACCTTGCAGCTGCAGACTCTCTTAGGATCTGGCCAGTTCGGTGAAGTGTATAAAGGTAAATTGTGATTTTAATTTTTTTCATGTGGGTTCTGGTGCCCCATTGTGGGGAAAACAAGAATAGATCCACTGCCTACCCAAAAGCATATTGCAAGAGTTGACTAACTGGGAGCTTTCTTTTAAGTTGGAGTGCATCTGCCGGTAAGGCAAGGAACCAGCAGTCTGCATGCGAATGAGTCAGATCTGTAAAACAGATGTGCACACAAAACTCAGGTTCTGGAGCAGGAGTAAAGTGCAGAAGTTAATGAACAACCAGAACATTCTGTCACAGTTTACAGCCGGTGAAAGCAAAGTAGAAGACAAATTATTATTTTTTAAATTATAATTTAATTAGAGCAGAGAAACACCAAGCAGACACATAAATGGGAAACAGAAGGATTGGAGAAGTGAGGCCGTTCAAAAGAAACCCTAAAATAGATGTTGATAAGAAAAGCCGAGGTTGCTGAACTGAATTCCATCCATACTATCAAAAGGAAAGTTTTATTTTGGGAGGAAAATTAATATAAAATGTTGTTATTATTTCCTTCGTTCATTGAAACAGAACAGGGGTTCCCTGATGGCTGTGACCAGTGGACTTCTCTTATCTTTGGAGATCTGCCATGGACCACATACTTTTCAAATAATTATATTGAAGAACTTGTTATAATTTATAAATATTACAGTCGCAAAAAAAAAAAGGGCTTGCAGAGACCCGAGGCTCAGTCTCCCCTCCGCTGCAAGTGTGTTGCAATAGGCGACCAATTAGGGGCATGCTGCAATTGGATGTGTTAGGCCAGAAAGCTGACTTACCGCAGCCTAGCTGTAAACAACACAGCATGTCACCTGCCCTTTTAATGAAGAATGTAGAAGAAGAAGAGAAGAAACTAAGCACATAAAAAAAAATAGTCCGCTATTTCAGTATATGGGAGTCGCTGTGGTGTAGCGGCTAGACACTCACCTGCGGATCAGGAAGTCATGTTTGGGTCCTGGTGGAGCCAGACTCTTTTTGTTTGGTCAAAAATGACCTTTGCTGCCAGGTCGATCCATCCATGAGTGGGTACCAAGTAGTCCTGGGAAGTAAAGGTCAGCGTGATGCTGACTACATCACCCTCCTTCCCTAGTACTGATTACTTTATAAAATATAGGTCTAGCCCTATATGCCCAACACACCTGATGGTGTGGAAAAGGGTCCTTAACTTTACTGTGTATTACTGCTGTGATTTTAGATGGACTCTATTTCATTTACAGCAGTTCGTCATCGTCTTCATTATCCTATTATGTTACTGTATCTCATACAGAGCTGACAGTCTGTTCTTCCATCCTGTTCTGTTCTCTGCAGTCCTGTCAAGATTAAGGATAGAAATTCAGTCCAGTACCCTGGGCTTCTCATTAGAAGCAGCTCAAAGTTTTCCCCGAGATTTATTTCAACTGCTAAAGTTTATTCTAGTTAGAAATGTGCACATACCAGTGCTTGCGTTGAATATTTTGATGCTCTTGATACTTACTTACTTAGTGGCTCCTCTTCTACCTTGGGGTGTAGAGGTTTGCCAGAGAGATCGCCAGACGTCTCTATCAGCAGTTTTCTTTCTGGCTTTGTTCCATTCCAGTCCTCTGTCAGTTAGGGACTGTCGGATGTTGTCTTCCCAGCGCACCCTGGGTCGTCCCGGAGGTCTGGTTCCCTGGTTCTTAGCCTCCCATGCTTGCCATGGTGGCCGATTTTCTCCCATTCTGCATACATGTCCAAACCATCGTAAGATGCTCTTGATAATGTTTACTATTACTTGATGTTTGAATGAAATGATTTGTGAAAGGAGGAAGACAAGAAGGGCAGAATCTTAGCGGGCCTGCCTTTGAAATCAAAGTTTTATGTTTGTTCGTTCATCAGTGTTTGTTTTGGTGCTGTTTTTTTTTTTTTAGACATACTCACTTTCTTGGTCCTTTTATTTCCCATTTTTGGGACTGTTTTGTGATTCTCTACTTTTCTTCTCAGGATTGTCTAATATAGGGCCAATTTCTTTGTCTTTGTTGCCCAGACATTTCTCTTATTTCTTCACTCCTCTTGGATTCATCCCATTTTATGTTCAACATTTTCCTCAGGCAGCTGTTTTCAAACACATTTTATTTTCGTTCCATGTCTTTAACTGCAGGCACCTGGAAGGGAACAACAGATGTTGCGATAAAGACTCTTAAGCAGGGATCAATGAGTGTTGCTCATTTTCTGCAGGTTTGTTGTTGATTTTGTTGCAAAAATCTGTCTTCTACCTCTACCTTTTATAGCCCAGTTGTCCTCATCGTCGTCGTCTTCTCCTCCTTCTCCTTCGCCTTCTTTTTCTTCTCCTCCTCCTTCTTCTCCTTCACCTTCTTTTTCTTCTCCTTCTCCTCCTTTTATCTTCTCCTCTTCCTCCTCCTCCTTCTTCTTCTTCTTCTCCTCCTCCTTTTTTTTCTTCTTCTCCCCTCCCCCTCCTTTTCCTCCTTCTCCTCCCCCTCCTTCTTCTTCTTCTTCTTCTTCTTAGCTTTCACTGGCTATAAACTCTGGCAGAAAGTTCTAGGTTTCATCCACTCCAGGTCTTTGGTCTTGTTCATTCCAGTAACTGGGATTTGCTTGCTCATCTGTTTCACAGACCTAGTTTCTGTGTATGTAGACAGAAACATGGTCGCAATAAACAGCCCCCCCCCCCCCCCCAATCGCTGGAGCCCACACAGGGTGGGGGGGGGGGGGAGAGACTGTTTATTGCAACCATATCATCGACATTTTTACTTATATTGTTAAGCCTATCCTTCTACATACACCCATGAAGTAGGTTTTTTTTTTTTGCATATTGTATTTTGGTTTACACAGTTATCTACACCTTTTGGTACTTTTCTTGTTCTTGTTCTTTTTCCTCTTCTTCTTCTTCCTCCTCCTCCCCTTTTTTTTATTCTTCTTTTTTATTCTTCTTTTTGTTCTTGCTTTTCTTCCTCTTCTTCTTCTTCTTTATCCTCCTCCTCCTCCTCTTCTTCCTGCCCCTCCAGCATCACTTAACAGCTTCAACACAACATGAGAAGCAATAGATATAGTCATAGAAGATGCAGTTCCCAGAACAAGCTGCACAACTCCCTGGTCCCCAGGGACTGGCACTTGTCTACTTACTATAGATAGATAAATTTCAACATTGTATTGATCGACCAATTTGTATTTTTACTTGCTTGCTGTACTGAAACGCGAAATAACTTGTACTTGCTTGCTGTACTGAAACGCGAAATAACTTGTACTTGCTTGCTGTACTGAAACACGAAATAACTTGTACTTGCTTGCTGTACTGAAACGCAAAATAACTTGTACTTGCTTGCTGTACTGAAACGCGAAATAATTTGTTCCTTTTTTTATTTCAGGAAGCTCAGATTATGAAAATGTTGAGGCATGATAAATTGGTCCGTCTGTATGCTGTTTGCACAAAGGAAGAGCCAATATTTATCGTCACAGAACTGATGGCAAATGGAAGCCTTCTGGACTACCTACGCAATGATAAATTCAAGCAAATAACGATTCCGCATTTAATAGATATGGCCTCACAGGTAACTGCATGATATTATTGCATTCATGTCTTCTTCATCGTTATTGCATTCACTGATTTTAATCTCCATAGGAAAGTTCTGATTGTTCATCCGCTTCTGGACTTTAGTCTTGTTCCAGAACTTGAGTGTTGCTTGTACATCCGTTTGACAGATCTGGCTTATTTGTATGCAGACTGTTGGTTCCTTGTCTCTCAGGCAGATGTGGTCCAACTTCGAAGGAAACCCCTAATTAGTCTACTGTTACGGCATGCTTCTTAGGTAGGCACCGGGTCCATTATTTTTTTTTCCCCTATACTGGGGCTGCCAGAACCCGTACAAGGATTTCGTTGTTTTATCTATACAACCACATATCTAATTTGATGACCTGTCTGTGATTCTGTATCAGTGTCCTGCCTGGATAGTCGCCCAGGTTGATGTTTATCGACTATGTCTAAGACCATGAATGTGTAGTGTTGGTGCTGAAGCAGTTGCGTCTCAATATCCTACATGACAATACAAAGGCCATCCATTCCCAGCACTTTACCGTACTTACATAACCCGTGAATATCAATCAAACGTCCATTTATTTTCCAGCACAAGATGAAGTCTAACACCCTTAGAAACAATGACGAAAACAACAGCAAGTGCCTACGTTTATGTGTCCGTCCTACGTCACGTCCTCCCATATAATCTCGCTTATTCTTAAAATACTCTCTCTGGCGCACTACACTCTAGGTCCTCTGCTACGCATATAAATGCCCCTTCTGCCGATGAAATATTGTCTGTCTGTCTGTCCTGTACCCTTTCTTTCTCATCAAGCATGTCGTAGGATGTTAAGTTTCCTGCACCTGTTTCTCGGCAGTAGGGACATTACTCTGTAACAATTCACTTCCTTACATCAGGTTGTTTCTACATATATTTTAAGGACTATCTCGCTTTTAATGCAGAAACATCATCATCTGACGAGTCCGGGGAAGATTTGGCAACCCCCCTCTGGTTGATGACTGGCATTGTGATTTGCAAGGCTTTCCTGAATTACCCCCATTTACAGAAAAAGGTGCACAGTGTGTGTGTGGAAACAGATAAATGTGAAAATAAATAAAAACACCAAAAAAAAGGCCCCAAAGGGACCATGACAAGATACTATTGTACAGAATGTCAGGTGCCATAGTGTATTGAACGATGCTATGAACTGTACCATAACACTGACAAATTATGATACAATTTGATAAATGTGAGTGGAAAATATTTCTTCTTTTTTTTTTTTTTTTTTTTAATTGATATTGAATTTCTCACCATTTCTAAATCGATAAAACAAAACAAATTCATGCTTTATATTGTCATAAAATCCAGTCTTTTCTTGGATTATATCTACAGCCACATGATGATGATGTGAAACAAACCCCAAAAATTTACTAAATTTGGTGCACAAATACAAAATATGATAAAAGTATGTTGAATGGTTGTGAAGTTACGGCATTTTAATCAAGTCTATATTTTTCTCAGATAAAAGATTGTTTGTTTGCCTTTTGTGCACCAATCTACAGCCACATGATGATGTTGTAAAACAAAATAAACACAGTTGTTTTCTTTAATTGTGTTCTCCATTCAATTTGGTGCAAAAAAAAATACAAAATATGATAAGTGTATGTTAAATATTTGTGAAGCTATGGCATTTTTGATTACACTAAAATATGTGGTATCTGAAAAGGAGCAAGGATTATTGAGTTTAATCACGACCTGCTCCAGCTGACGGGCCGTGCTGTTAACGTCACCGGGTCGGGCTAACGATGCGTTAGAGCAGCAGTTCTCAAACTGGGTGCAGAAGCACACTGGGGTGCCGTTAGCGTATGCTAGGGGAGCCACGGAAATAATAAAGAAAAGTCGGCTAAAAATAGTAAAATTATTAAAGAAGGAATGTAGATACTTGAAAGTTAAAAATCTAAGTTGTCCTTCCTAGCCACGGTCAAAAATAGTTTATTTATTCTTTTAGAACCACCGGGTTAACGCATCGTTAGCCGGACCTGGTGACGTCAGCAGCACGGCCTGTCAACTAAAGCCGGTCTTGGTTTAATAGTCAGTGGGTTAAACAAAAGGAAACCCGTTAAAACAATATTGTATTAATAATTTTATTCAGACATCAGAGGAAAAATACATTTGTGTGTGTTTTAATGTTTTAATATTTATGTTTGGTCTTCAGATTGCCAGTGGCATGGCTTACCTGGAAAGCAAGAATTTCATTCATCGAGATTTGGCTGCAAGGAATATTCTAGTTGGTGAAAACAACATTGTGAAGGTTGCTGATTTTGGTTTAGCCAGGATTTTAGACAATGAAGAATACAACCCAAAAGGTTTGTTATCAGGTGGTCCACCAACTTTTTCTACCTCATTCTCTATTTCAGTTAGCCCTGTTGAGTTAAGAATTGGCAGCATAGCACTCGAGACACTCCCAGAAGCACTCTGTCCCCATCTTCAGCAGCAAGCAGAGAGTCACAATTCCGGTGGCACCAGTAACTGCCTGATAGTATATCCACATCGCCTCTTCCTTGAGTGTTGAGCGGCAGCCAGATAACCTGGTAACTCCCAGCAGCGCCATTCTCCTCAGACTGTGATGATCTTTCAGTGCCTCTGCACTGTTCACTCGCCGCCAGAGGGCCCTTACGCCATCCAGCTTTTCATACATCAGTTCACCAGGTGGTGCAGAACTGGCCAGTTTATCTGCCTGCTCTTTTCCCAGTACGCTGGCATGACCTGGAGAAAATATCCAAAGGAGGCTAACTACCCCGGGCCTCTGAAGCGATGCTTGCTCAGTTAGCCCTGGTAAGTGAAGGGCCCATTTCATGCCAGTGCTGTATCGGGCATATGATGCTAGATTCATTTTTGTGTAGGTCATTCAGTGTCATGTGGTCAGCCTCATGCCGGCCGCCTTTACTTCCCAGGACTTTACCTGGAATCTATTTTTGTTTGGCTGGGTCAACATGAGACCCAAAATCATTGTTTTACAAAAATCAGACTCGATGCAGGTTTGAACCCAAGACATTCCTGCTGACAGGGAACTGTCTAGCAGCCATGCCACCACAGCTTGCATTAGCAATGGTATACAGCTCACAGAAGCCAGCTTCATGCCTCAGAAATGAGATATCGGAGAAAGGTGGTCCAAGTGACAAGAAGGGACAAAGTCCGCAATCAGACAATACATCAAGATCTTGACACCCAGTCCTTACAAACCCGAGTGGATCAGTCACAGTAACGATGGTTTGGGCATGTAAGCAGAATGGGAGAAAATCTGCCACCAAGGCAGGCATAGGGGCTAAGAACCGGGGAACCAGATCTCAAGGGCGACCCAGGGTGCGCTGGGAAGACAACATGCGAAAGTCCCTAACTGACAGAGGACTTTGAATGGAACAAAGCTAAAAAGAAAACTGCTGATAGAGACGTCTGGCGATCTCTCTGGCAAACCTCTACACCCCAGGGTAGAAGAGAAGTGACTAAGTAAGTAAGTAAAGATACACTAACTCTTTACCCCAATAACGCTAAGGAAACAAACAAAACCAACAAAAAAAAAGCACAAAAAACAAGAAATTGATCATGACCCCATCGGAATTCTCAGAAGACATCCTTTTAAAATAACAGTTTTACATGGGTCTGATTTGTACAAAATGTATTTATGTACATTAAACATTAAAACATCTGTGGCTTAGGCGTTGCGAACGTGCTTCGTAATGCCAGGGTGCCGAGTTCGATCCCAGCTGCAGGCGGCTTGTCTTTGCATTGGTTTTGACAGTGATACAGAGAGCTGGCTGTTCCGAGGCAGTGGCAAACTACTGAATGTAAAATTTGCCTAGAAAAACCTCAACAGCAAAATATATACAGCAATATATATATATATGAAGATAAATATTGGGAGTAATCAATGAACATGAACATAGTGAAGCATTAAGTGCAATACACTCTCCTGTGCCTAGAAATAATATATGTATCGGGTGACCTCTTTCACTGAGGCTTATGGGACAATTTTATTTTAACTTGAAATTTAAGAAACCATTTGTTTTGAATGACCACTGCCCTCCCCCGTTTCCAGCGCTATTATTAGTTAATTTATTAACTTCCTGACCTCATAAATATTTGTACAGGCATGAATGCAGCCAGTAGCCTTTACTGTCGTTAACAGGCCCCCCACAGAGAAGTGGGAGAAGAGACATTTATAGTGAATTTGCCCCAACGAGAAGTGTTGGTTTTGTGGCTTTTCAAGGTGACAGGTTAATCTTTGTTTTCAACTTTATATTTTTTTTGTCCACAGGGGCCAGATTTCCAATTAAATGGACAGCGCCAGAGGCAGCACTTCGACAGAAATTCTCAGTCAAGTCTGACGTCTGGTCGTTTGGTATTTTACTGTATGAACTGATGACCAGAGGCAGGATTCCCTATCCAGGTTTGTTTTCATTCATCTTATATCATCTCATTGCATAACATCTCATCACATCTCATCACATATCATATCTCATCACATATCATATCTCATCACATATCATAAGTCATCTCATCACATATCATTAGTCATCTCATTACATATCATAAGTCATCTTATCACATATCATAAGTCATCTCATCACATATCATGTCATCTCATCACATATCATATCTCATCTCATCATATCTCATCACATCTCTACATATCTCACCACATCTCATCATATCTCATCTCATCACATCTCATTGCATCACATCTCATCATATCTCATCACATATCATATCTTATCACATATCAAATCTCATCTCATCACACATCATATCTCATCTCATCATATCTCATCACATCTCATCATATCTAATCCCATCTCATCTCTTCACATTGCATCATATCTCATTATATCTCATCTCATCATATCTCATCACATCTCATCTCATCACATCTCATTACATCTTCACATCTCATCTCTTCACATCACATCTAATCACTTCCCATCTCATCATATTTCATTACATCCCATCTCATCATATCTCATTACATCCCATCTCATCATATCACATCTCATCACTGCACTGAGTGGAAGTTTCTGCCTTTCTGTTATCTTATCCGTTGATTAATGAAAAATTCACTGTTGAGAAATGGCATTTAAGAAACAAGGTTTCACAGCAAATTGATCCTTTTATCTCTCATTTTATTTTGTTCTCTCATCTCTCACAAGTTATTTCTTTCCTACATCTATCAACTCTGCTACTAGCAATCATCATCATCATCATCTTCAGGTACCTTGCTACTAGCAATCATCATCATCATCATCATCTTCAGGTACCTTGCTACTAGCAATCATCATCATCATCATCATCATCATCTTCAGGTGCCTTGCTACTAGCAATCATCATCATCATCATCATCTTCAGGTACCTTGCTACTAGCAATCATCATCATCATCATCTTCAGGTACCTTGCTACTAGCAATCATCATCATCATCATCATCATCATCATCATCTTCAGGTACCTTGCTACTAGCAGTACGACTAATCAAATAACATTTCCTTAAAATGCAGGCATGGACAACAAAACAGTGCTAGAACAGGTGGAGAGAGGGTTCAGGATGGACAAGCCTACCAACACGCCAGATGGTGTCTACACTAAAATGCTCGAGTGCTGGCATGAAAAGCCAGACCTGCGGCCGACATTTGAGCACCTGTTTATTTATTTTGACGATTACTTTATTTCTGTAGAGCCAAATTATCGAGAAGCAGATTAGACATAATTCGGCTGTCATATTCCTAACTGGGCTGAGAAAACTAAGACATGCCATCAGTGTGTTTTGTTTAGAAACCAGTCAAGTTTTACTCATGTATTGATATTCACAGAAAACAAATAAGTAAGATGGGAAGAACGTGGTTAAAAACTCCCATAAACTGCTACGGCCCCACAAGCCAGCATTGGATTAAATCTTGCTCGAAGAAACAAAAGGATGAGAATTCTGACTTAATGGAATATCTAAGGCCATAAATATCTGAATAGCATATATCACGGCCGGCAAACAGTGCCTCTTCAAAACCTGGAGCTGTAAGACAAAACATGACTAGAAAAGAAGAAGAAGAAAATAGTGATTTGTCTGGTTTGGGTGAATAAGAATTTGTGTGTGTCCAGTATCTTCTCTTTCTTTGTTGTTATTTTGAGTACAATGTATGCTGTTTATGTACCTTAATGGTCAGTGTGACTGACCAGCATGCATTTATGTGAGTATTTCTGTCTTTCCGTGTGTATATGTTGGAAGATAGGCTGTTTAAAGGCAAAATCCTGATATTAATATCACAATCGCTCATAAGATGTGGGTAAACAGTTCTGATAACTGAAATGACAACAGATAATATTTTAATATTACACTGAAGCATCAAATAAGATACAGTTGAATTTTTTTCAGATAGTGAGAGCACAAGTGATATATTCCTCAGTTTAGAGCTTTCAATATCTCGGGTGCATTATGTAGAATTTAAATAAACACAATTTTATTTGCTTTGGGAATTTAAAGGGAAGTAATAGGACATGCATATTCAAAGGAACATAACTCTAACGAAAGTTTACTTTTACTGATTGTCACAATGAAGAAAAAAATAGACAATAACCTAGGCCGCCAATGTGACTGTTAAATTAAACATTGTAGTAATAATGGCAAATGAAAATGTAACCCGTGTATTGGTCAAGGTTTGGGAGGAGTTAACACTTCATTTATAATAAACTCAATGAAATGCAGAAAGGGTTTGTGATTTATAGTATGGATATAGTGAAATAGAAATAAATCATTTCGACTAAAGCATAGTAACAACATTGTCTCTTATTTTGCTCTATAAATTAATGTAAATTCAAGAGTATGCACCGAACACATACTACTAAATGATATCACTGTTTAGCAGATTCCTTGTAGAACATGGCTGTCACCACAGTCTGCCTGACAGAAACTAAAGTCTCTCAACAGCTGTCCCTTTTTGTGCACTTTCCTACCCAAGAAGTCAGTTGTATCTTCTGCCCATCTTGCCGATCAGCCCCAGCCCCCTTTTCTGGCTACCATGCCTTCTGTTATTATTTTTTTTTTAATGTGCTGTGATGCCCGATGTTGGGAGTAAAAATAGGCACAGCCAAGCATGAGAAGCACATGAAGTTTTTTAAAACAACATAGGACTGGCACTATGCCGTGCGACACTGATGAATATGTTGAATCTAAGCGCCTATGGATGTGTCCGGAGTGCTGTGAAGATAATCTAACTCATAACTCAGCTCGATATGGCTTTAATATTTCAGTTTCTTCTTCATGTTCATGGGCTGTAAACTCCTGGGGAAAGTTCTGTGTTTTCATCCACTTCTGGACTTTGGTCTTGTTCAAGAAACATGAATTTTGCGTGCACATCCGTTTTGCAGATCTGGCTTATTTGTATGCTGACTTCTGGTTCCTCACCTCTCACGTAGTTGCACTCCAACCTTAAAGGCAACATCCATAATTAGTCAACTCTTAGACATGCCTTTTTAGAGGGCAGTCTATTCTCCCCCACCCCCTTTCCCCACAGCGGGGCCCTGGAACCCACACAGGAAGTCCATCATGTTCAGATGTTATAGTGAAAATAAATTTTGTGTCATATATTGTTTGCATCATCACTGTTTGAATTAACAATGTAAGAACATTGCTTTGAACTTCTGTTATCTGAATGAAGATTGTGTGTGTGTGTTTTTTTTTTAATTTATTTTTTCTCTAAATCTAAGTGCACCTTTATTTGTACTTAATAATTATTTTAATGCTTGCAACTATTTAAAAAAAAATGTTTAATGATAGAATTATTCTATATTGTGTCGTATACATCTTGGGGAGTTAAAATTTTTATGTTTTGTGAGTATAGTTACAATGCTTCCACTGATTTTTCTGCAGGAACCCAAGCTTTTTAAAAACAATTTATTTGATGCATTGTGAACATGAGAAAGCCTTCATTTTCGTGTGGTCTGGATTTATATCATATTCAGGATTTTAAAACTTCAGTTTTGTAAACAGTTTGATGATACGACTGGTAATGTCTTTCTTCTTCTTCTTCTTCTTCTTCTCCTTCTTCACAATTACCATCTAAAAGCTCTGGCAGAAGTTCTGGTTGCTCATTCACTTCTGGACTGGAGTCAGGATCCAGAACTGGGGTTTTGTGTGCACATACGTTTTACAGATCTGTCTTATTTGTATGCAGACTGTTGGTTCCTTGCTTGTCATACAGATGCCTTCCAACTTCGAAGCAAACACCCCTCGGTTAGTCAGCTCTCCCACAGCTAATTCCACGTTCACACTTTCTAACACATGTTATTTTGTCTAACTCAATTGAGTTGATTTGATTCATGAACTGACATCACAGCACTCCAGGCATTCCTATAAGTCCTCCATCCGCAGCCAGCGCAGGGTTCTAATACCAGTGGTGCCAGTAGCACTCTGTTATATGTCTGTCTTGTCTTTTCTCTGAGCATCGAGCCTCGGCCAGATCCCTTTGTCACTCCTCGCTGCATCACTTTCACCAGACTATGGTCATCCAGTTGCACCTCTACATTGTACACATTCTCCAACAAGGCCCTAACCACGTTTGCCTTATCATGCATCCATATTCCACATCCATATTCCACATCCATATTCCACATCCATATTCCACATCCATATTCCACATCCATATTCCACATCCATATTCCACATCCATATTCCACATCCATATTCCACATCCATATTCCACATCCATATTCCACATCCATATTCCACATCCATATTCCACATCCATATTCCACATCCATATTCCACATCCATATTCCACCAAGTTGTGCAGAACCAGCCACGTGTTCATTTCCCAACACACTTGCATATAATTCTGTCTTTTATGAGCATTAATGCATAAGTTGTCTTCAGAATGTCTTCTTTGTCCAGTAGCAGTGTTCTCATAGCTATCCCCTTTATAGCAAAACAATCCACTTTTTCATTCCCTCGCACTCCTACATGTTTAGGGCAGTATTCCACGTGAGTTATTGTACTTATGTTGAATTGTTGATGCTTGTTATACACTGGTGCCACACATTTGAGGTTCACTCTTAGAATCATCATCATCATCATGTGGCAGTTTTTTTACAATATGTTGCAGTCTTCACGGATGCTGAAAACAGCCACTTGATCATTGCCTACTTTCCTGCCTCATGAACTTTCATGGCCGGGGTGTCCTTAACATCAACATCATGTGCCACCATCATGCTGGTCGACCCCCTGCCTCCTTTTCTTCCCGGACCCTCCCTTACTATTCTCTCAAAACCATTATGGCATTTAATATGGCCAAAGTAATTCAATTTGTAAGAGATGGTATTGCTTATGAGCCCTTCCTCCCTCCACCCCCTTTAGTTATCATTAACTCTTTCAGTATCAGATAGCTGTTAACCCATTAACTCCGGTAACGCTAAAAAAATGAATTCTCAAAAAAATCTTTAAAAATGACAATTTTGCCCAGGTCTCTAATTTTTTTTTTTAATTCATTTATTTATCTGCATAACAAAAGTTGTTGTATTGCAATATATAAAGGGGGTAATCAGTAAAGAAGAACAGAGTGAAGCATTAAATATAATGCATTCCCCAAGGTCTGAAACAGATACAAAATATATATATATATAGGTTGACTCATGCCATGACCCTGTGACCTCTGTCACTGAGGCTTACAGGAAAATTGTTCAGTCAACCTAGCTTTAGAAAAGCTATTAGATTCACATGAAAGCCCTTCTAAATGATATATTCAGTTAATATATTCACATCCTTAACACTATGCGTTCGCAAATAGAACCAGTGGCATTTAGTTACTTGTTTTTGAGAACAAGTCACTGCAGAAGTGGTGATATATCAACATTTAAGCAGCTGTGTCACAACAGGAAGTTACTAGTTTTAGCCTTCCCAGGGTGATTTGGTCAATTCAGTGGCCAGTTTAGATAATTTGCGGCCAAACTTAAAAGGTTACAATAATTGAACACATCTGGTTGGTTATGTTTTTATACTCACCACATATAAGTATCGAGATCTTTATTGAGTTTGACAGAGACAACTTCCTCATCTGTGTTTGTAAAGAAGCCTCAGTTTATATGTATCACTACCTAGTCATCATTATATATGAATGGATGTACATATGTATATATATTTTTTATACTTAAACTTAATGATGAGTGACTGATATAACTTTCCTACGAGCCAACTAAGTTGATAGGTTATGTTGAAAGAAGAAAGATATTATATATTGATGCATATCATGTCTTTTCTATAAATATACAATTTCATGTCAACATCTAAATCAAATCATTGAAATAATACTTACTTATGCTGTGTAGATATAAAACTTGATGTTAACATATGCATATTGTATAAATAATACTGATTTGTTGTCTATGTCATGCTAGGGCCTTTAGAAGAAGTAAAGAATAGTAAATTGCACACTATCAAGCAGGTAACACTATCAAGCAGGTCATAAGTGGCTGTGAGTGCTGTTGGTCTTTAGATTTGGTGAATCCATACTTTGAAAAGCTGCAGTTACACAAGCCAGATAGTTGATATGTGTGGTGAAAGAAAGAAATAAAGTGACATATTTTGGCCACATGAAAAGGCATGTCATATATGTGAGGGATGAAAATTGTAAGATTGATGAGCAACAACTAGACAGCGATATAAATGGGAAGATAACATCAAAAAATGGAAAACAGCAGTTTGAGAGAGCGTAAAAT